TGAAAAATTAAGCAAGTAGAGCAATTCCACAGCACATACTTTCAGCATAACTCCATTGTTACTGTAAGTGGCACAGTGCGAACATCATCAGAGCGTTGTAATTATCTCAGAGCCAACTTTTGCAAGGGGTAAGTAGCTCAGGGTGAGAATTACCCTTAAAAGAAATTCAAATCCCATTAGGATAAGAAATGCAGAAATAAGGCACAGTCTTAATTCTGCCCTGTAGGGAAACCAAGAAGAGAAATATGGAGCAGCACAACCTTTATGTGGCTTTAAAAATCAGTTTAATCTAATCGAGGACCATAAACCCTAAAATGCCTTAATCATACTTATTTGGTTATTGCACAGACCATCTTGCTTCCTTGTTTGGCAATAGAAGTCTTATAAATGTTACAGTGAGCATTAAATACTGTCTGATTTCCGTAGCTTTCTGTTGGCTAACACTAGGGAAGCAATATTTGCAGACCTCCCTGTGCAGGGCCTTTGCATTCTCGTAAAAAAGAATTTGCTCAGAAATTTTTGGAGAAATTAATGCAAATCACTCTGTAACTCTCACAGGAAAATTTCCCCTGTGATTTTCACCATGTGCTACTGTTCCCAAGTCCTTTTTATACAGGGGTCTCAAAGCTTGCTACAAAATGGTATTGGTAAGAAGATCATCTCATTTGTGATTGCCTATGGCTTTCACAAGGGAACTTATTTGTGAGCCATATGAGCTAAAATAATTTGCAGGAATATGTTCCCTTCTGCATGAAAATGTGGCCTGTTGTGCTTGTCTCTTATCTTTTGGGAGGGACATCCCAAGGAATTTGATAAAGAAGCTCTGGACCTGATCCCAGCTCTCTTGCCTCCTCCTGTGTTGTACTAAGCACCTCTGAGCCAGGTAGCTGGAGTGATCTGTTTGCTTATGGTCACACACATCACTTAGGGACCAGACTAGTAGATAGATTACTGGTGTCACTCTTCAGACCTGTGCATAGCAATCGCTGTCATCGAAGTCAGTAGGGCTGGTGGGGGAATGCCAACCTTCCCTGTGCTTTTTGCCTTACAGACAGGTTGTTGTCAGAGCTCTTCCCAAGTGCCAGGAGGCTCTTGGAAATTTGCTTCATGAAGTTTTTAAAAGGGAACTCCCTCGTTCCCTGCACTGGAATTAAATGTCTCAGGGAAACCTGGTATCCAGGACCAGGCAGCCTTCAGCAGTACATCGGGATCTTGGTGACCATGAGTAATGGTTGCTGTAATGAGTACTGAGCAAATGTAGGCCTATGTGATGGGGGAAGCTGTGCCTTGTGTTCAGTGATCACTTGATGTGTTTCTTACTCAAGTGTTTCAATCCTATGCATGTGGAGGGTTGTTGGTGTAGGGCAGTCACTGAGGGAGCAATGGTGAGTGTGCTGGCTGGGTGGCTGGAGCTGAGGATTTCACGTGAATCCTGTGGTAGAAAGAACATCATGAGGTCTTACTGATGGGGGAGAAGCTGTGTCTGTGTGGGTGACTACAACAGCAGCATGGGAATTTTCCCTGTTTCAGGTTAAAAATTGTCTTTTTACTCAGTTTGGACAGGAGGCTCTAAGGACTTTGCTTCTCCCTCATGCATCTGTTCCCTGGCCAGGAGGGACAATGAAGAGTCATGCTCCCATATCTACTCCAGTCTTGGTGCAATGCTCAGCTCCCATGGGAGAAGCACAGGGATTAAGTCAGAATGTACAGTGAGAGTGCTCTGTGGCCACTCCTGTGCACAGTCCCTTCCCCACAGTCTCCTGGCTGTGGCAGTCTCCACTGAAGTGGTGGTAATAAGTTAAATCTCCTCTGCTAATATCTATGTCTATATTCATTATTCTGACACCACTGGACTAACCAAAATAAAATTCAGTCAAGGTGTAGTCATTTAAGTTTCTGCCTTTGACTGTCATAGTTGCAGAGCACCACATCTGGTAAACCAGCAAAAGTCATATCTTTATTGTGACCATGTGGGACAATGCATGTTGTAAAAAAGGGATTCAAGTAGTGTTATTAAAATAATGAGAGTTGCTGCCAGACTGTGAGGTAATTTGGTTGGGAAAGTGAAATCCTGATTTGCTCCAAAGCCTTTGTCTGCTTGGCAGGCTGCCTTCTGCCTGTAACCTGGCATTTGTTGACTTTGTTTGTGTAAGGACTTAGTTGCCATCTTGCTGGGTGTAACAGCCTGTGATGTTCATGGTGGGTGTCTGTTTGAAGCTCTGGGCAGCTCTTGGCTCTTCAGAGCCTGATTATGAGTTGCATATATACTCCGTATTTGGGCTGTATATTTACAGGCTCTTCCCTGTGGCAGTGCTGGGACTGTGATAAGTGGGAGGAGGCCCACTAAAAATCTACTCAAGCAGGTCTAATTGTACCAAATAGAACAGCTCAGTAGAGTGGAAAATAGTCCTTATATATCTACCCGAAGAAGATAATGACCTTTTAAATAACAGAAGCAATTTTATTTCAATACCCCAATTACTCTGAACTCTCAAATGTCAAAGTGCCAAGCACTTTCAAAATAACTTAATTTAGATATTTATAGCACTTAGACACTGCTAGTTTCTTATCTAACCTAATTATGGGTTGTACAGGAAATTGCAAAGCATCCCAATTAATGTTATTTTTTATAGTGATACATAGGAGTGGCCTTTGCTATTTGCCGTCGTCATGTGCACAGTGATTTACTAATTTTGGCTTTTCAGTTAGTTCCCTGGCAGGACAGAGCTATTCTATCCTCTTGTTTCTCTTTGAGAGCAAACAAGAAGGAAGTAGAGGTAGAACTGAGCACAGCTAGGTTTGCCTGAGAGAATTGAAGGGCGTATGTTCCCGTGAGAGCAGAGTGCCATTGCGAGGCAGGGACATTTAAGGCATAGAGATGTCATATAGAATAATGCTGGCTGGCTGTCAATCTTGTTGATCCTCTCTGGTCTGAGTACTTAGGCCAGGATTCTCCACTTACTTGTCTCTCACAGGACTAGTGCAGGCAAATGAGATTTGTAAAGCTGCTTAACTGACTGCTTGAAAAATCTCTTCACAGATGGTGCTGAGCAGTTTCCCTTCTAGTTCCTGTGCAAAGCAGGCAGAATCAGAAGTGAAGGAAGTGGTGTAGCATCACTGAGCAGTATTCAGTGACTCCTTGTTTGCTTTTATGATAAGGGGAGAACACATGTCTAGTTACCACATTTGAAAGTGTTAACCGTTGCCCATCCTCATATGGTTTTTGCCCTGTATTTTTACATGATGTCTTGGTCCTGTGCTGTTTCCCCCCTGGTGTCAGGAGATAACTGTTTGCCGTCAGAGAAGTTCCTGCAGGCCTCCTCTTTCCTGAGGATAATCCAAAACGATCGACAGCTAGTTTCTCAAAGAAAAATGTGGGGCTGTGAGTAGCTATGTACTGTAGCTGCTGTCAACTATACCCAAGACCATGTCAGCCCACAACAGGAAGACAAAAGTCCCCAAAGGTGATCTTGTCTTGTGCAGCTCTATGTACAGAGTCCTAATGCAGAGTCTGTTGTATTCTCATTTACTTCCTTATGGTAAAATATTGCTGCAAACAAGATAGATAGGATTTTAACATGGCTTATCAACTCAAATTAAGTGGAAAAGTTTGACTCAACAGCTTACGTTCAAGAGGGGCAGAGGGAACAGGCATGCAGGAAGGTAAGAATTCCCTTTCCCCAAAGTTTTTCCCTAGGCAGAACCAGAACCCGAGTGATCTTGCCTGGGGACTCTGTGCACATGACCTCCTACTTCTATGGTGTGAGGTGCAGGAGAATTCCAGGTCCTGCACAGCAGGGAAAAAATGCAATTGTAGTGACTAGCTGTGTCAAGTACTAAAATGAAAACCTGAGCAGGTCTCAGCTGGAGGCTTGAAAAGGGCTGCCGGAACAGTTCTGATTGTGGTGGTCAAAGACTGAAAAGCCTCTTGTGAGGTTTGCAAACAACCCAGCAATGCTGATGAGGAACAAGAGAGACTCAACACAATATGGTGCCAAGACAGGTAGGATTCTTGCCCTACCTCTTGCTATGCAGTCAGTAGAGCACATTGCTTCATCATTTAGACTCCAAGTGGAAATGCTGGAATATGAAACTTCTGTGAAGTTTGTTGAAAGAACTGGGGCAGCCAGGGAGAGGGATTGTTTGAGATTCATATGTTGGAGCTATGGTGTGTTTCAGCAGGTGTTTTCCTCTGTGGACCGTGCTGAGCATGGGATCTGGGAAGCCAGCTCAGAACCCAACCTAACCATTCCCTGAATCTCCAAGGCTGTTTTCTCTGAAATAATTCATTAATCTTTTCCAGAGAATCAGTGTTGGGAATCATTTGTTCTTTACAAAAGGAAAGCTTGACAGAATTGAAGTTGTTAATTCTCTTTTCAACCTTCCCTTCGATAGACTCCAAATATGGAGAAGACTGTTAAGAGTCAAGGGAGATATTCTGTATGTCTACTGGGGAAAAGGCAAGAAGATATAGCCTATATACTAGGAAACATTTTGAATTATATGGCTGTGGAAATGGATGGTGAGGCGAGTGTATGGAACCTTATCACTTTAAGTTTCTAAGAAGAGGCTAGACCAGTCTCTACTAGGTTAAGTCAGGCTGAGTTGGTCTATCATGTGATAGACTTAGCTGACATCTCAAAGTCTGTACTAGCATCATTTTCTCTTTTTTTTTTTTTTTTTTTTTTCTGAGAGGAATAACACAAACTTGGGGTATTCTATTGACATGCAGTCTTTCAAACTATGCTGCCTCTTAACCAATGGAGTCAAACCAGGTGGTGGAATAAAGCACACTGAATGAGTGTATTTCAGATTAGTGCAAGAAACTCAGATGAGGAATTGTTATGCGGTGGAATTTAGGAATTTTATGTTTTACCCTGGCATGTTAGACTGAAGCCAAAAAGGATCTTTGCACCTTGATGTCACTCACCAGAGGTGTTTTGGAGAAGCCATCAAGAAGCAGAATTTGACCTACGAATCAAACATCAAATGAGACCTCATCTTGTCTGAGTCCTGCTATGCCAGCAGAACCTGGCCAAATCCTGGCTAAGGACACAAGTTTATTGAACTTCTTAATGAAGAGAACCCCACAATTATGTTACAGTTATTCCAAAACAAATAATTTGCTTGTAATTACAGAGATAATGACATTCTGACCACACCTACCAATTAGAAAGTTGTAATAAAGAGTAATAAAACACCTTTTCCTTGGGCTGCAGAATCAACCCCCGCACAGCCTGTGACACTAATATGACTTACTCCTATTTGCTGATGGAGGATTCTGGTAATAAAATTTAATGTGGAGGAACAAGGTGCATTTAACCAAAGCTGTAAACATTTCTAATTCTATTTAAAGCTATAGGGTGCAGTACATTAACATTTAATAATCTGATACTAAATTGGTGTGAAGCAAATAGAGCTGTATTTGTTAAAATTTCAGCACTAGTCCATGTTTTACCAATGACAACAGAAGGAGTAACCAAAATAGTATGACTCAGCAGACTCCAACGGCTGCTTAATAAGTTATTATGAGTCTTCATGGGAGCTCCTGTCATAAAAGAACAGTGGACCACATTCAGTTCTGCTGCTGCTCTGTGGCCGTTCTGCTGAAGCCAGAGGGAGTTAGGCCAGAGATTAATTTGACATTGTAGTCCTGTTAAAAGGAGCTAAATCCAACTTACTCTGTTTTTTTCCCACTAAAGCACATTATACTCAGTGAAATTTTCTTCTCCATAGTCTTTTAAGTGAGTTGCTTTCATACTTAAATTTGTACAATTAATTGCAAAATAAAGGATGATGTTTTCCTTTCTCCAATGATATGATCTGACATTAAATCTGGGTGGACACTGCATAAGAAAAAGCATAGGAGATGTCTGCTTGGGAAAGTGGGTATTCTCCTAAGTAGGATTTCTGGCCTCCTTTCACTCAGCTGGTCTGTTGCCTTTCAGGATTCTGCTGTCTTATGAAGTCAGTCACAAATGGAAAATATTCTAAAATCATGGAATTTTCTGCTGAATGAAAAATACAATTCCCACCTCTTGCGATTGTCTAAAGTCTGAGTACGAGATAAAGACATATCCTCAAACTGTTGTCTAGCAAGCAATAAATCCTATACAGACTGGAAGAACTTATCTCATTAAAAAAGGTAATTTATTTAGCTCAATTAACTATTATTTTGGGGAATTAGATATCAAACATAAACAAGAATATATAGAATATTAATACATCAAGAATGATATTCATTGAAATATTGGGCATATACATACAGTAGAGGATTTTTCTGAACAATGGGCACAATGGCCAGTTGTATGTAAAAGGAATGTTTATATACCAGACTTTAAAAATGTTTCACAACTAAGTGGTCGACTCATTAATGTGTTAGGAATTTATTTTTAATTCCAAATGAATCACTAATAAGCTCTATACTTTTCTAAGGCCTTCCTTACAGCTGTCTGCAATAAAAGATGTCGTCTCTGAAAAGTCAGTCAAACTCTGGCTGTTCCAAAACTGATCCCTGAACATTTGATCACTCTTTAGCACCAATTTCTTTTTGGTTAATGAGTTGATGGCTGTTGTCATTGAAAGTCCATCACCCGATCACAAAACAAGGAAAAGTACTGTGCCCTTTTGGTGGGTGATTGAACTCCTTGGATAATTAAAAGGTGAAACAAACATTTTCTTGACAGCTTGCAAATACAAACATTAAAAATGAAAATAAATACTAGCAAACCTATTGATAAAAGCTGGCCTTAGTTTGGAAAAAACTGTTTTGATGAGGGACTAGTGTTGGAATTAGTACCATACATAATAGCCAGCCTGACAAGCATTTCTTAAGTTATTTTTTTATACAAGAGATTTTTATCTAACATGGAAGCAGGTGACTGTATTTTACATTTACATATCCTGGCTATACAGTAACAGATTATGTATGCTGCCTAATCTCTACTCCTGTTCAGAAAAGTTAAAAAGCAGTTTATACAGACTCTGATTCTGGTGAAGCCCTCCAAAAGGCAGTGATGTGTTCTCTCCCTTTGTTGCGTGTCCCCATCCCTGCATTGTCACCCCTGCGCTCCTCTCCTGCTCTCCCATGGAGTAGCAAAAATAAGGTCATGAGTATTCCTGCAATGGTTACTAGCTGTGCTCTGAAGCCTGGTGAGAAATGGCTGTATCTCTAAAAAGGCCTGACCTGTAAGGGAGGAAGCAACACGGATCACCTTGGTTAGGACTTCAAAACACAAAGCCTTCAAGTGCTGCTTCAAAATCCACACTAAATACTGCTACATGAATGGCCTGTCAAGGGGCTCCCTCCCAGACCTGGAAAGGACCTGGCACATGCCAAGTATCAGATCTCCATGGACTGAGGGTGAGATAAAAGGCCCATGCTTTTACTTCTCCATTAACTCTGTGGTTAATAAAGGGCTAAAGCTTCCCAAGGGCTGAAGGATGTTGAGTACCTAACTCTCCCTGAGCTTTGGTAGAATTTGGGCATTGGAGATTTAGGAGCTTGGAAACATCAGTCCAGCTATCCTTCTTGTCTGAAATGCCCAGGTTGCCACATTTTCCGTGAACGTGTATCACAGGAAAAGGAAGAATCCTTTCTCAGTTATCAAGAGGTGGAGAAAGTGGAAGAGTATTTTGTGCTCTCTCATTAGGCTCATTTCCAGATCTCCTGAGCCCTGGTCTTTCTAAAGAAATAACTCCAAAGTGAGCAAGGCGTTAACAGAGTCTGCTCTATACTAAAGCAGAAGCTGTGTGATTTTTCCTCTAGATCAGTAGCTCAGTAATGTAGGCCACAGGAGGAAACTTCTGCAGATTTGGAAGCACTAATCTAAATCAAGGCCAAAAGCAGTGTCCTGGTTCTGTCACAGTCTTTTACTCACTATCAAGTTTTTCCTATTCCCAATCAGATTTTTAAAAAGATCAAATCCTGGAAGATGTTCCCAAGCTATAAATATTCTTCCTTAAATCATTGGGGTTTAACTACAAATGTTTTCTCTGGATTATTTTGAAATGTTTTATTTCAAGCACTTAAGAAGTTTACTAAGAGCAGCATAAGTTTTTAAAGACAATGACATTTAGAAAGGGAATTTGAAAATATAGAAACCAAACCTTTTTATAACTATTTCTGCAGGGGGAAAAAAACAGAAAAAGTAATTTTAGCTTTTTCTTTGATGTAGAAAAAAGTCTTAGCTTTACTGAGCTAATATTTTTCTGATTGGAAAAACAGCATTAAATTGACAAAATTCCTGGTTAGTGATCTTTGTCTTCAAAAGCAAGTTGATGTGCATGGATCCTGACACTAGTTCTTCTGAGCCTTGCTAAGATGTTGATGTTTGCAGCTGGATTTGTCATATTAGCATCAAAGAAGGAATAATGTTTAGTATTGGAAATGCCCCAGGTGAAGCTTCAGGCCATTTGAAACAGGGGGACTCAACATTATGAAGGGTGTCTCTGGGATGTCATTTGTAGACCAGTTGCTTTTTCTATGATTACTTTCAACTACATTTTGTTTAAAAGTCTCATAGAAAAATAGAAATGCATGAACAGAAATAAAAAAATAAGGACATTTGTATGATTTTTATAAATAAACAGCACAGCAAGAATTAAATAGAATACAGACAAAGGATATTTATACAGGCATGAACTATTACAGCTTGTTCTCCTCAAAGAGTATCTGTGCATAGACTGTCGTACTGGGAATGCCTTTGGCTTCCTGAATCGGCTTCATAAGTTCAAGTTCAGCGTATGTTAAATTCTCCTCTGCGATTTTTGGCTAGGAAACAGAACCAACAAATTACAGTTATAATGTCATTACCACTGAATGTAAATATTCTATAGAATGGGCTGTATTTCTTCTCTCACACATGCTAGTTCTACTCACTCAACCCAGGACAGCTGTTAATCAGTTTAGTCTGCACTAGAGTTAGTTCATAAAAAATGAAATAAAAATAACATTAAAAATAATAAACAGAAAATAAGATTTTCAGGTTCATTTCCAATTTCTCCTTGTTTCCCAAACACTGAAAATTTTAATTTGACAATTCAAATATTGCAAATTTGAAAGATGTGTGTTAGCAAAATGTTTAGCATCTATAATCCTATATTTTCCAATTTAATTTTAGTTATTGCGGATTTCACAATTTGAAATATATATACCAGATTTGCTTCCCAGCTGTAAACCTTGGACTGGTTACATCTCTAATCACAGCCACTCACAGTACCTCGCTCATTATGTTTCTTAACAGAATGAAAAAGCATGCTAAAAATATGCAGAGAGCAACAAAAATGGATAGAATTGAGTTACTGTCATTCCATTGGGATTTCACCACTTTTGCCATGCTATAGACGAGTTCAGAGTTTAGAACAAAGGCCATACAATCAAAGACATCTGAAGTATTACACTGGTTGAGTTTTAGACTTAAAACTATAAAACTTAGCTAAGAGAGAAGTTATCAAGAAAATTTACTGAACAAATTTCACAAGTGACAGAAGAGCTGCCTACTGGTGTTGGGGACTTCATCCAGACTCAGAGTGGTGGCTTAGAGGAGGAAAGTCTTGTCTTGTGTTCCTTTGTGTGGGTTGGCTCATCACTTGGGAGTGGGTTGTTCATATCACATTCACCTCAGAAAATGTAGCAACAAACAAGAGTTGCTGTGAAATTGTACATGGGGCCCTAGTACTTGAAATGGATTTCAGTTCATCTGTAGGAGATAGAAGTCTGTGCTCCCTGAAGAAGGGTGAACTGCTAAGGTCCTGTGCAAGTGAAGAACTGGAGAATTTATTCTCTTATCTTTTTGGATACTGTGTTTTACCTGAACATAACTGGTGTCCTCAAGTTTAAGTCTAAAAAGGACAATTAAAACAAAACAAAAAACATTTCAGCCATGCAAATTTTTGCAGTCACAAGACTATGCCTTATAAAAAAGGTTGCCTCTCTGACACCAAGAAAGGCTTTGGCAGTTGTAAACTGAAAACTCACTCAAAGTTCACAAAGCAAGATTTTCCATACAGTACTTAGTTATAATGAAGAAATTGACAGTATATTCCAATGCCAAGAGTTTCCTTCATGTTTTATTTACTTTATTTCTTTCTGATTTAACATAAATGATTCCTGTTTCCTTGAAATGTGTTTGAATAATAACTATATTGTCTTCTGACTAAAAAGATAAACATCTTATATCTTCTGAAATCAGTCCCTGTGCTCTCCTGCTTCCTGTCTTTTGCACTGCTCTGGAATCCTCTCATTTTGCCTTGACAGTTGCTCACACTCTGCATTTCAGATTGTTTCCCTCTGGGTGGATCAGTTTACACTTTTCCAGCATTAATTTAATCTTATTTCTTCTCTGCAAATCTGATCCTGAAATACTTTGTGCAGCTGCTGCTGCAAGTGGTGTCACTGAAGTCAGTTGATCTGTGCATATGAGTTAAGGCCATTTGCAGGGCTAATTGTCTGCAGGACTGTAATATTTGCATTTGACTATTCATGTGGGCTTCCCTCCCTCCCCCTCTGGCCTGGGTAGACCTATGTGAGCTCAGCTTCTGTGCCTCGTTCACTGTCAAATGCTCCACTGTTGACTACACAGAAAATTTCTTGCTTTCATTGAATTCTCTGGTAAAATGATGTAAAGGACTTCCTGTGGATCCCAGCCTGGTCTTATATGTAACAGAAATAAAATCACACATTTCTTTTCTTTGTTCATGTATCAGAACTGAACCACATGTTTAGAAAGACATCTGTCCTATCCTGGCTTTGGTTTAAAAAAACTTGGTGAACAGCTCTGATAATTTTTATATTCCCCTCTTCTTTCTAGCCTGAGAGTATTAGCCTCAGTTTCTAGGCATTTGTTTTTGCCTTTTATGATATGTTAAAATTTCTTTTGAGATTTCAAAACTATATGTGCCATCTATTCAGTAGATAGTACAGAGGCTAAATACCAGAGTTAAGTTGAGGCTGGACATCACAGTAACACCAGGAAATGCTGAAGACTGAACAACATGCCTCTGGATAAACTCAAACACACAAGGGAAGCTTACAGAGGATGGAAGCAAGGACAGGTAGCCTGGAAGGAATACATAGAAATTGTCTGAGTAGCCAAGGATCAGGTTAGGAAGGCCAAAGCTCTAACGGAATTAAATCCGTCCGGGGACATCAAGAGCAACAAGAAAAGCTTCTATAGGTGTGTTAGTGATAAAAGGAAATAGGAAAATATGAGGCCTTTCCAGAAGGTAATGGGAGACCTGGTTATTTGGGATATGGAGAAGGCTGAGGTGCTCAACAATTCTTTTGCCTCAGTCTTCACCAGCAAGTACTCCAACCACATCGCACAAGCCTCAGAAAGCAAAAGCAGGGACTGGGAGAATGAAGGACCAGCCACCTAGGAGAAGATCAGGTTCATGACCATCTAAGAAACATGAAGATGTACAAGTCTATGGGACGTGATCGGATATATCCATGGGTCCTGAGAGAACTGGTGAATGAAGTGGTTAAGACACTATCCATCATATTTGAGAAGTCATGACAGTCCAGTGAAGTTCCCACTGACCGGAAAAAGGGAAACTTAATGCTCATTTTTAAAAAGGTAAAAAAGCAAGACCTGGGGAACTACAGGCCAGTCAGTCTCACCTCTGTGACCGACAAGATCATGGAGTGGATCCTCCTGGAAACTATGCTAGGGCACATGGAAAATAAGGAGGTGATTGGTGACAGCCAACGTGGCTTCAGTAAGAGCAAATCATGCCTGACAAATATGGTGTCCTTCTACAACGGGATTACAGTGTTGGTAGATAAAGGAAGAGCAAATGACATCATCTACCTGGACTTGTGCAAAACATTTGACACCGTCCTACCTGACATCCTTGTCTCTAAATTGGAGAGACAAGGGTTTGATGGATGGATGATTTGGTGGATAAGGAACTGGCTGGATGGTTGCACTCAAAGAGTTATGAGTGAATGGCTCAATGTCCAAGTGGAGATCAGTGATGAGTGGCATTTCTCAGGGACTAGTGTTGGGACCAGAGCTGTTTAACATCTTAGTTGGTGACATGGACAGTGGGATTGAGTGCACCTTCAGCAAGTTTGTTGATGACACTAAGCTGTGTGGTGCAGTCAACACACTGAAAGTGAGGGATGCCATCCAGAGGGACCTGGACAGGCTTGAGAGGTGAAGTCCAACAAGGCCAAGTGCAAGGTCCTACACATGGGCTGGGGAAATCCCAAGCACAAATACAGGTTGGTTGATGAGTGGATTGAGAGCAGTCCTGCAGAGAAGGACTTGGGAATGTTGGTTGACAAGAAACTCATGTGCACTCACAGCCCAGAAAGCCAACCGCATCCTGGGATACATCAAGAGAAACATAGACAGCAGGTTGAGGGAGGTGATTCTCCCCCTCTGCCCCACTCTCATGAGACCCCACCTGCAGTGCTGTGTCCAGCTCTGGGACCTCCAACATAAGAAGGACACGGACCTGCTCAAGTGGGTCCAGAGGAGGCCACAAGGATGATCAGGGGCCTGGAGCACCTTTGTTATGAGGACAGGATGAGAGAGTTAGGGTTATTCAACCTGGAGAAGAGAAGGCTCTGGCAGCCTTCCAGTACTTAAAGAGGGCCTACAGGAAAGATGGGGAGGGACTCTTTATCAGGGAACATAGTGATAGGATGAGGGGTAATGGTTTTAAATGGAGAGAGGGTGAATTTAGATTTGATATAAGGAAGAAATTATTTTCTGTGAAGGTAGTGAGGCAGTGGAACAGGTTTCGAGGAGAAGTTGTGGCTGCCCCCTCCCTGGAAGTGTTGAAGGCCAGATTGGATGGGGCTTTGAGCAACCTAGCCTAGTGAAAGGTGTCCCTGCCCATGGCAGGGGGGTTGGAACTAGGTGATCTTTAAGGTCCCTTCCAACCCAAAACATTCTATGAAAACTTTAGGAACAAGTTGTTGGTCACTGACAGAGTAAAACTCTACATTTCCTAAGACTGACCCAGTGCATCTTTTGAAGTAGAAATATTTTCAATGTTGCTCAGGGCAAGCTAAATCTGTACATGCTTTCCCCTTTGCTGTTTAATTGTATTTCATGTTATGTTTCCATTTAGAAAATGCCGCATGTCCTAAAATAGCCACCCCAACGCCCAGCTCATGTAAATTTTAGAACTAAGATTTATGAAATCATATTGTCCAGGTGTTTTATTATATTATCTCAAAATTGCATTGTTTTCCAGTGTAGATTATCTCTTTACTCTTACTTTATTCTATTATGTTTGGATATGAAAAATAACACTAGATTCCCCAAAACAAGTCATTGGGCAGTAGTGGCTGATGTGTTGCTTTCATACATTTTTATGATGTTCCTATAGTAAACATAATTTAATAAAGCCAAAACACACTAAATAAATAATTGCATCTAGAAAAGCAATAAAACCAAATAAAATTAGTACTTTCATAAGTGGAAAAGGTACTTCAATTACTGCTACAAGCAACAGCACACCATAAAATGTGTAGAATAATTTCCCTTATGCATATTTCTAGTATGTAATAATTTGATTGAAAATATGAAGAAACACACAGGAGGTTCAAAATTGTGAAGGGTATACAGTTTTCAGCAAAGGATGCGTAATAGCAGTGCATGGAAGCCAACACTACTTTAAAGTACCTATGGTAGCCAGGGTTTTATTCCATACACTCGTCTGTACTTCATTTATCAACCACATGTTTAATTTAATTTTGATGGTTTGTTTGTCCAAAATCAATTTTCTTTTTGAACAGGCAGGGAAAGAAAACTA